AAGAAGAGCCCAGGAAAAGTTTTCTCATGCTTTTTCTGGATCTGCTTAAACGCTGACGTATGAGACTTGGTTCGTTTGAGATACCTTGAAAAGGCAGGTTAGAATATGAATTGGATAGGGTACCCTTTCTTCAGCTCTTTGCAAAACAAAAGCATTCTCTGGCTGCTTAAATATGTGCTACATTTTAGAAATACCGGTGTTATTTCTGGTTTAGCTCTTTTTAAAAATTAACCTGAAGATCCTGTTACTGAACAGGCAGAGTTGCACATACACAGACAAAAATGAATCCGGATATAGCTGCAGGGAAGAATCTCTTGGAATTAAATTTATTTCAGTTTTGCCCATTTAATATGTATAGATACATCTGGGCCATCAAGCTGCTTTAGCCATAGCAACAGACCTCTGTAGATTGAAAAATGAGTTCCAGCAAAATCTGATTAGATTGGCATCAGGTTGGCTATATATTTTCAAATTTCTGTATTCCCCAAACAATACTTGGATGTAGCAATATGCTTGTTTTGAATTAAAGAGATGGGATTTCCCTTTTTATCAGTGCTCTGCGTTTAAAGGTGTTACGGAAACAAGGAAAATTGGTTGTTTTAAATGGCTTATATTTGCCTGTCTCTTTCTCTCTCTCTCTCTATATATATATTTATATATTTCACCCATAAAATGTTAAGAATGGAATGATTGGCCTGCTACAGAGGTCCCCATAATAGACAATTATTAAATTACAATGCAGTTACGATTTTTAATAATTTTAACTTAATTTAAAATTTTAAGTAATTCATTAGTTGAAATTACAGTTACAAGGAAATGGACTGTATCTAGGGAAATTATGTAGGACGTTAGGCAGACACCAAAGCTTCAAGGGGATTTTATTTGCAAGATAGAGATAGAGATATTTCAATCCTATCTTAACCAAGATGGGAAAGGGTGCAAAGAAGGCAGTGGATTTGGGTCCAAAGAATGAAAGAATTAGGAAAGTAATGACTGGAATATTTCAAGTAACACATGTTTATTTGTTGTGTGAGTGATTTGGGTTGTTGTTTCTCAGCTGCTTGTGTTTTAACTTTTATAATGTTTGTAATCGTTTTTATTTTATTTTAATTCTATTCACCACCCAGAGTCCCTTGTTGAGATGGGCAGCCATATAAATCAGGCAAACAAACAAACAAACAAACAAACAAATAAATAAATTTTCCTTGGCAAATACACAGATATAATTTATATGTGATAAATGGGTTCTGGTTTACAAACAAATCCGTGCTTGAATACGCAGGGCCAATATCTGGAATTGCAGAAATGTTTGCTACATATTGTAGACTTAGTCGACAAATGTACAGGAAGGAACATTTTTCTCCATCCCTAGTAGACTGTGGAGCTCAGATCCTTGGTGGTGAATTTTCATGATCGTTATGTGGTACGTGACAAGAGAAACTGTCTTCAACACATAGGCATATATTATTGAAGAAGTGTTTTGTGGACCTGTAATCTATGCTAGGTAATAAAGGATGGCTAAAACAGAATGCTTGGAAATTTAGACTCCTTATGTATTATGGCATTGCCACCTAGTGGTGAATGCTTTAAAAATAGTTAGTTCTCCTTGGTGAAACTAGTGAGTTGTGTAGGACCAGAGAATTTTCCAGATTTCCTCTGAGATGTCTTTTACATAAATGAATTTTGGGGTTTTAAATAATCTCCAAATTTTCATTTGGATTGACCCTTCCTGATAGGTGAGAATAAAATATCTGACAGCTCTTTTAGCTCTTTTTATAATAAAGATTCAAAACGTTTTCATTTAATCCAGTGTTGTCCAAACTTGGCCACTTTAAGATGAGTGGACTTCAACTCCCAGAGTTCCCCAGCCAGCATGCTGGCTGGGGAATTCTGGGAGTTGAAGTCCACTCATCTTAAAGTGGCCAAGTTTGGACAACACTGATTTAATCTATCCGCTGTAACACTAGGTCGTTTTCATCTGAGTGCATTTTAACTTTGACTATGGTTCTTTTTAAACACAAATTATTATTGTTGTTGATCACACAGTCAGCCAGATGTTTAGACTGGAT